ATGAGAAGTATCTTCAGTTGCATTGCTTCTGTTTTTAAACAAGCCTATGCTGACGCAATCCTTTCCCAAAGTGAGGTTGCGTCAGGCGGACATACAAACCATTTTTTGACATCAGTGTATCATGGGTACCTTCCTCAACAATCCTCCCTCCATTAAGTACAACTATGTTGTCAACATGCCTCATCATGGCAGCTCGGTGGGCAATTAAAATAGTTGTCTTGTTCCCCATGATTAGAGTATCAAGTGCCTCTTGTATCACTCGGCTCGACTCAGATTCAATGGAGGAGCTTGCTTCGTCCAATAACAGAATAGGTGCATTCTTCAGAACAACACGAGCTATTGCAATTCTTTGCTTCTGCCCAGGAGTCAGATCTACCCCCCTCATCCCAACATGTGTGTCATAACCATGAGGCAAACTGCTGATGAAATGATGAGCATTTGCTATTCTAGCGGCTTCTTTCATCTCAGCTTCACTAGCATTGTGCCTTGCGTAGATTATGTTTTCCCTAATGGTGGTTGAAAAGATAATTGGTTCCTGCTGAACAAGTCCTAAATGGTTCCTCAACCATCGTAAATTGTATGACTTTAAATCACGGCCATCAAGTAAAACCTGACCAGCAACAGGGTCATAAAACCTCTCTATTAAAGATATAATTGTGCTCTTTCCTGAGCCAGAAACACCTACCACAGCTACAGTTTGCCCTCCGTTGACTTTTAGAGTGAAATTGCTCAGTACCAGGACTTCTGGTCGAGATGGATATGAGAAATCAATGTTTTTCAACTCAATACAGATAGCCAGTTATCAATAGCTGGGAGGAGGAGGGATCCGATTGAAATTTCCAGTGGAAAGGAGAAGGAAGAAACAGTGGAGAGCACTCCCAAGTCGATACGAAGCACTAATCAGAAAGGAATAACGAAAGATATTAGCCAAGAGCCTGCAAGCAAGATAAAGATAGGGAGGATGAATATGGATGAGGCAGTAGATATACAAGGCAATGATTGAGAAAGTAATGTTTTGGAACATTAGATCCGTTAACACTCAAAAATCTTTTGAGAGATTAATAAATCTAAACAAGAGACATCATTAATGGAACCTTTTCAGGAACCATCAGTGCTACAACAATTCAAAAGAAAATTGGGGATTTTCTGGAGAGAAGACTGGGTGGGCAGTGTGATTACGGATTCAGCCCAACAGTTGACAATGAAATTCATCAAAGACGGGAAATTGTTCTTCATTACGTCTGTATATGCTAGATGTAACGCATTGAAAAGACTAGAATTATGGGAGGACAGAGTTTTGTAACTCGTCAGTGTAGGAAGGTCAATGGTTGATAGGTCGAATGGTAGAATTGGAGAGGAAAGTATATTCAATCGGTTGGACAGAGTTTTTAGTCAACCAAGTTTTCATGAACATGTTCCCTTCTTCGGAGGTACATCACATTATAAAACAAGGATCAGATCATGCGCCAATTCACATGATTTGTAACTCGTCAGAAGAACCAATTATACCACAGCACTGGAATGTGGATTTTGTGGGTAATCCGTTTATGGAGTTTCAAGTTAAATTAAAGAAGGTGAAGAGAGTTTAATCTTTTCAAATAGGTGTGCTTCAATAGCTTTTCAATTCATACGCCTTCCTGCGAAATATGCAATGGAGATTGAAAGTTGGAGTTATACAACGATGGGACGTACCATATCATAAGTATTACACATCTTATTTTTAATTGAGTTGATTCTTTTAAGATAAGAAGTTGACAAATAATTTTGTATGTTCAGTGTGTCGAGTTGCAACAACCATCAGAATTGTCAATCATATGACTAAGGCAAAAGAACTTCACTAACTGCCATTACAAATCAACATATTTTTTTTACATTTTGATTTCATTACTTAAAAGGCATAATACATAAATTGGACCTTAAACTTGACTTCGAATTTTAAGTATGACCTCTAACTTTCAAAGTGCACAAGTAGGCACTTCAACTATCCAATTCTTAAACAAAAAAACACACGAATCCAACCTGGCATAACGCGTGATTGAGACGCAATTCAGGCGCGTCAGGGGTATTTTTTGAGGCCCACAACAGTAAAAAAAAAGCGGAAATGACAATTTTACCCTTAATGAATCCCTTTTAAATATATCTTTATTTTTTTCAAATCAAAATCCCATTTTTCTTCTTCTTCTTCCTAATTCTAGTACTCAAGCTTTTTTTCTCTTTTTGTGCACAATTTCTGGTCGTTTTTTATGTAATGGCTTCTAATTTTTTTTGTCATTATGTAAAAAGAGCAAATTGGGAAAAGAAAATACGACCCTACCCTTTTGTATTTTAATTTCTTTCTTTTTTTTAATTATAAAATACGTGTAATTTTTTTAAAAAACAAACTTAAGTTTTTTTTTGGGGCGTGAGGGGCTGGTAGGTGGTGGATGGGGGGCTGGTAGGGGGGGAAGGG